AGGAAACTGGAATCTATATACATGAAAATTAGTAGAGACAAGTATGAAAATTATGCTTCTACTAGAGTACAGGCAAGTATAAAAATTATGCTTCTGATAGAATGACTTACTCTAAATTTAAACATTTGTAATGGGTATAGTAAGCCAATGGTCATTCCTTAGAATCATATCTTTTGGTTCACTACATGCTGTGTCAGTAGCCACGCATATTCTTGATTTGTTAACATTCAAAAATGAGGAATAATCTGCTAATTGATGTTATAATTGGAGTCTGGAATCTCAAAATGCTTTCAGTCGGATCTCAAAATGGCCATGTGCTAGCTAAGTGGCCTTGAGATAGTTAATTAATTGTGTAATATCTTGCTTTTCTCATCTGCAAAATATAGTAATACTATTGTGTGGTTTAAATGAATTAACTTATGTAAAGAATTTAGAATATTGCCTGACACAATGGAAGAGTCTAAAATGTTAGTTTTAATATTATTGCTAATACCGTATTGAAGTTAGTTATTAGTGAAACATAATGAAGATATTTAATCATTCATTGGCCAGGAAATAGAGTGCTTGACAGTAAAAATAGAAAAGCTTGTGTCTTAGCGTTTCTCTTTCTAGTGCACCAGGAAATATTAACACAATAGGGTCTTTTCCAAACAGCATAATTAGCAAATTCAAACACATTTTTACACTTTCAAACATCACATAGATACCAAAAAAATAAACCGGATTGTGTTCAAGCTGATGGTCTGTAATTATATTTTTTCCATTGTACTTTAATGGCACAAGGCAGATAACAAACTCTGACAGAGGAAAGAGCCTGGGCATAGACAAAATAGTAGACTTGTTATACCTGTGGTCTTGAAATGAAGGAAGTATTTGATTTTCGTAATACATTCCAAACCTGAGGCTTGTTTTAACCATGGGAAGTAGTACAGAAAAAGAGATGTAGTTCAAGCTGGTCTTGAACTCAACATCTTCTTTCCTCCTCCATTTCTTCAGCATCAAGCTGAAGCACTAGTGCACACAACAAGCACTAGTGCAAAGGATAATATGGAAAGATGGAAGTTGTATCATATACACAGAGTAATCTTATTACACTGTTTGATGGAATGTAGGGAGTCAATTTCCAGTATCCTCACTGCTTTGATGCAGATGTTCTGAGGCACCTGTTTTTTAAGGGCTTTTAAATGTTTCCATCAAGGATCATAATCAATTCAAATTTGTGTGCAGTCATACATTTTTAATACTTTCTTTTTCCCGTCAACCTACAGGGTCAGAGAATGTGGCGGTCTATCATCGCAACATCTCTAAAGTGGACAGGTGTGTTATACCCAAATTAGCGCCCTGGGATCCTTGCTCAGATTCTGAAAACTGTAGTCAGTGTGGTATAGATGGGAGCATTAGTTCTCTGAGGACACTAGGGAGTGAGGACTTGCTTTCCACCGTAGATATCTACAGCTTTGATGGTTTCATAGCCAGGCGTCCTAGCTTAATCATCTTAAACACAGTCATTCTAGGTTTCATATATACTTTTCCTGTAGGTAGCCCATTGCAGACAACAGTTCACTTGGGACTCCTAGTATTAGTGGTGAAAGAGGAAAATGATCTGTAGTGTTCAATGACTCATTTTACATATTCAAAATATTCTTAATTTCATACATAAGTTTTTATTCTATTTCATTCTTCATCTTCTAATCAGAGTTAAAATAGCCTTAAAGAAGGAGAGAGGAGATGGTCCTTAGACCATGTATGGATTTATCTGTGTGTGTGTGTGTGTGTGTGTGTGTGTGTGTGTGTGTGTGATATGTGGGTCTATTGTGTTAAGATATATATGTGGAATTCAGAACACAACTCTTGGAATTCATATCTCTGCTTCCATCTTCGGATCTAGGAATTAAACTCAGGCCAGATCATCAGTATTTCAAGGCAAGTACTTTTGCTTCTGAGCCATCTTGTGGGTCACAAAGGCAGATTAGATTATTTGCATAGTTATCTTCTTATTTTTAGTTACAGGAATATGTGTGTGCTGGTGTGGGAGTGATGAGGATGTGTGCAAGTGAGTGCAGTGACCAAGGATGCCAAAGATGGTGTTAGATCCTTTGGAACTGGAGTTGCAGGTAGTTTTGAACCACCTTGTGGGAGCTGGGAAAAGAGCTTCAGCCTCCTTGACAGCCTCCCCTCTCTTAACCACCGAGTGTCACTACGTCCTTGTGCCTAGTTATTCTGTGTAATCTCACAATTACCCTCTACTAATCTTGTTTACTGCAGTGTCAAATATACTTTATGTTGCTAACAGATTGCCATACTGTGCGAAACTCATGAACAATAGAAGTTTATTCAGCTCATGGCTTTGAAGGCTGAAGGGTTCATTAGCAAGGGGCCAGTGTTAGGAGAGAGTCTTCACCTTTCATGATAACAGAATGGATAGTGAGCCTGTGATGAGAGGACACAAGAACAAGTAAGCTTCAACCATCCTCTTTTCTAATATGTATTCGTTTATTGGGGCCACCCTTAGCATCAAACCTAACCCTAGTCACTTCCGGGTAGCCTCTTCACACCTACATATGAGTTATAGATTTACTTTTCCAATTACCCACATGGATGATTTGTCAAACAATACCACATGGGGCTCTAGGTGTCCCCACTGTCTAGGAGTTGAGGATCTAGCAAGTACCTGCCAATATGAAAAGAAACTGATGTATTTATGTAAGAAAGCATATGTGTATATTTAGGAGCATGGACATAGATATTTAGAGTTTACTTTCAGTTCTTTGCAAATAATCAATTAAAAGGTCATCGCAAGACACTTCCCTATACCTTAAGATACAACAAATGGCATTGACTTTAAAATGGACTCCATTCAGTAATGTGAGAAAGCTGCTTAAGCTTTCTGAGATTTGATTCATTTTATAGAATAGCTGGTCTGCCGAGCTGTGGTGAGAAGTAAGTGGTGTAAGAACTTCTGAACAGTATGTGCTTGCAGAAGTTTCTTGATGAATTTTCATCATTGGTATTTTAGCTCTTACCTTTGTTTTTAATGCTTTCTCAGTGTGGGTCCTTTCAGTCATAGAAATGGCTATTATTTCCACCACTGCCAGCTTCTGTGGGATTCCTTATAATGCAGTAGGTAGAATGAAAACCCAAGTATCACTTAAGCATTAGGGAGACTTGTACTCTTGTGTCTGAGGAAGGCTGTGCTACAGCACAGCTCAGCTCCCTTACATGGCACTGGGCACACAACTCTCCCTCTTGCCTAGGAAGCCACAAAAGAAACTGGTTTAGCATGTATCATGGCCCAGGTGCCTTCAAAGTCCCACTTTTGGTTGCCAGGTTCTTTTCCAAAGAAGTAGCAGGGCAGCTGGCATACCTTCCAGCTGTTGGTACTGCCAAATGAACTCTTTTAAAAAGAGAACAAACAATGTTCTCTAGCAGCACAGTCACCGTTCTCCTCCCTATTCACTTTCATTTGAATCTTTTGTAAAGTGCAGCTTCCAGATACCAAAAGCATCAGCAAAGCCTGTCTGTTCTATAGTTCTATTATCCAGTGCAAATTGAAAAAAGGAACCTTCCTACTTCCTAACAACCCTTAAAATTTTTCTTTTACAAATAACGTATTTCCAAATATTGGTGCTCAGTACATGATTTGGACAGGGCAGGTGGAGTACAAGGGTGACTTCTATTAACCTGCTGCAAGTAATTTTCTGTTCTGTTCTGTGTGATCAGGCAGGCAGCTCCCCACAGGATTTACAACAGATACGCTGGCGATCAAACTCCGCAAAGGTATCTTGGTCATTCGGGAAATCCATTGCTACATTTGGGAGTAAAATGCCTCAAAGAAATAACAGCATCTCTCCTATTTACACTCAGCAACACATTTTTTCCAAGCCTAGACACAGCAGATTGAATTTCATTCTTTCTGTAAAATGAATTGTGTGAACAATGGGGAAATACAATTTTTTAACTTACAGGATTTGAGGCTTCTTGAATACATGTATGTATATATGTATGTATGTATGTATCTCAAATCCTGTTTAACTGGTATGTTGTAGCTAATATGGTTTCTGTCCTGACCCAGGTTAATGCTCTGATTTCCATATGTACTTTTTATACACTAGCCACAATGCCTAGAATATTTATAATACCAACATAGTCTTGTTCCCCTCTGTGCTTGGATTCAGGGTCATGGGAGACACAGGAACATTTGTGTAGCTCTAGAAAACTTTGAATATCATTTATGAGGGAGAAAGAGATGTAGCCGTGGCATTTGCTGGCAGCTTCAAGGTTCTGTTCTAGTTGTGAATGCAGAGGACTAGCAGAGCGTGACCCGCATGCACTAACTCAGGTGTGGCACAGGGTCAGTTTTCAATAATGACTTTAGAGTAGAGTGAGAGGTATGCACATAAGCAGGTCCCAACATGCCTTGAGGGGTGCCATTTAAAGATTTTTTAAATTTTAAATTTAAAATTAAGGTGTATTCTGGAAATGTGTATGTATATGTGTACACACACACACACAAAGAGAGAGACAGAGACAGAGAGACAGAGAGACAGAGAGAGCATTGGTCTTAATAAATTTCAGAAACATGGCTAGGAATAAAGTTAAGCATCAAGAAAGGCATACCCAAGGGAAAAAAGAAGTATGTCAGGTTGATTATACATTAAATGAAATATAACAATGGTGCAATGGTTAACTCTGTCTGGAGTTTTTTCTTTTAATTCAATAACCAGATTTTTTTGTTATTTTTCTATAACGTTTGATCCTTTTTAATGCAAAGAATTGTTTTAAACTCTAACTTCTCTATGTTTTAGCTCAAAAAAGAATGGGCCATTTGTATCCTCCTACTATCCTATGATGTGAAAAAGGTATCTGGCCTATTTTACAAAGCTAAATTTGTTTCTTTTTATTATTACTCTGGGCATATAATAAAATTTGAAATATCAAATAAATAAATAAATAGCAATCTTAATTAATGAATGCTACACATTTTTTTCTTTTCATTTCAGCTCTCAGGAGAAGTAATTTTACAAATTGCCAGTGAACCTGTTCTGCCCTTCAATGCCCTTGATATAGCCTTAGGAGTTCAAAACAGCCTTAAAGGTAATTTTCCTTTAAATTGTGTTAATTTTAATAAGTGAAGAAGATTTTAAATACTTCCAACAAGGACTAGGTAAAGTATCCATTGACTGAAAATTAGTAGCATTCCTATGGCTCTGTTCCTCTGAGGGGAAAATAAGAATACTTGAAAAATGTTTAAGCCACCCTGCAGACAGAAATGAGACAGACTTTGTGTGACAGACAGCAGTATGTCACAGACTGGAGCAGTGTGAGTGCTATTTCATCAAAGAGAATTTCAGTTCAGAGCTTTGGTTACTATTTACAGATTCATTGTGTGCTAGCAGTGTAGGGATCCAACTTACCCCAGTATTTTACCTAACATGTTCATTCTACACAAGATGGAATACCAAGATTCTCCTTTGGGACTGGTGCCTAAGGGATATGGACCACTTTCCTGGCTGATGTCAAAGGCATATATAAGGCAATCAAAGGATCAGTTCCATAGGTTCCATCTCAGCCCCTCACACATAAATATACCTGCAGAATTTAGACCCCCACCTTCTGACTGGATTCTTGCTTGTCTTGAACTAAATACAAAGGGAGACATTGTGATTAAGGTTGTCATCCTCTTCTTGAGTTACATATTCTGCTATCAAATCTTTAATGAGTCAGTGATAGAAACTGCTCAGTTGAAGAGAAAACCAGTGTTTTAACTGTAATATGTATCCTCTCATAATAGAGCAGCCCCAGGACCAAAAATTTCCAATAACATGGAATTAAAGACATTCTTAAGTTGAAATTATACTTTCTCCGAATTATACAAGTTTATTTATTATGAGCTTATTTCTTATTTATTTATTTGTTTATTATGATCTTATTTATTATTTATTTATTTGTTTGTTTGTTTGTTTTTTAGAGACAGAGTTTCTCTGTGTAGCTTTGTAGACCAGGCTGGCTTCCAACTCAGAGATCTGCCTGCCCCTATCTCCCGAGTGCTGGGATTAAAGGCATGTGCCACACTGCCTGGCCATGAGTTCATTATATTAGATGAAAACAGTGACTTTGTCAGATTTTTTTTACCTACTCTTGTTTAGCTCTGTAGTTCTCTTCTTCCATGCTTCCACCAAACTTGCATCGATCCAAGGTTGCCATGGCTACTTGTGCTGCTCTGTCTCCACTTCCTATTTGCTATTTCTAGGATAGGAGCTTGGAAATGGGGTAGTGAAGCACATGGCATTTTATAGAATAAGCACAGAGCAGGTACAGAAAATAAATAGTCCTGTGAATGATAACCTTTCTCTAAGAATTTTAGCTTTAAAAAAAATCCGTTTCATTTGTTCTGTTCTGGAGGCTGTTTTGCTTTTTCTTAGCGTCTGAACTTTAACCTCTATAAAATTCTCTTGGTCTGGAAGATAGTACTTAAAACTTTCAGAGAACAAAAGAAGAGGCTTTTTACATTATGAAATCCTTGTCCATCTATAAAGTATCATGCATGAGAGAGAATCTCAAGTAGTGTACTTGAAAATAGCAACATCATGTAATAGAATTATAAACAAATTTCTTTCTGAGTTAAAACTGTCTATGACCAATAATTGGAAAGAAAACAAAGTAGAGTTACATTTTAAAATGTTAAAGTAATTAAGGAAATAAAATCATAAGTGTTAACAAAACAATTTTAAATTTTGTTTGGCCAGTTTTTAAACAATTGATTTTATTTTAAAATAACTTCAACTAGGTCCAGTGGTTTATTATTATAATAGCTACTAACATTCGTATAATATAGGGTACTTCTAGGGCTCAAACATAACTACTATCCATAGTGAGACTCATATTATTAATCTAGTTTTGGTGGGGAGCCAAAGATCCTTTTCAATATAAGTTCCATCTTTCTCCCAAGATAAGTATCATTGCATATTGTTTTTAGTAAAAAACTGTTGGACTTCACAGAGTCTCCTAAAATCATTCATTAACTAAGTTAAAAATTCACTGAATATATATGGCATGCCTATCTATCAAGACTGGAGGGGGATGTTGAGGAAGAAATGTAAGTTTTGTTACATGCTGCTCAAACATCAAGAAAACTGAGGGTCAGACATTCACTACTGGGTCGAAGAATCTGGATGTCAATGTGACCTCCACAAAAACAGCTCAGAACAATGGTTTGTGCAAAAGCAAAGATAGAGGGACTTAAAGAAGAATGGGCAGATAGGAACCAACAAGGGACATGTGGTGGTAGACAGTCAGGAAGGTTTGATATTTCTTGCCTTGATGATAATGGTCTTTTGGGAGCAAAATTACTTCACAAAAGAATTAATTACTGGCCTGATTTTCTTGAAGGAGATAAACCTTCAGTTTGAGGGCTTTGCTGTGGTTAAAATGGGCATTGGACCATTTGGAACACAGTAATAGCTGCAGACTAGATAAATAACAGGGATTCATTGCTTATGGTGCCTAGGACTGAGAAGACCAAGATCCAGGCCCAGTATATTCAGTCTCTGAATGATGGTGTCCATGATTTTTTAGATGATTTTTTTCTAAACTCACAAGACAGAAGTTTGATAAGAGGTCTATAGGCCTCTTTTATGAAGGTATTCATCTTGTACTTGAGGATTCTGGACTGATAACCTAGTACTTTCCCAAGAACTGGACAGGCTAATAATGCAATCCCTCTGGGGGTTAAGATCACACACATAAACATCAAGAGAGAACAAACATCCAGATCAAAGTGGGAGTAGAAAATACACCCTTAAAGTGTGAAGAAAGAGATAAGACATTATAGAAGGCAAATGTGGTCATGTAAGATCTTCTCAAGTGTTTTTATTCATAAAGAATATTGTAATTTGTAGGGACAGAGATGAGAGAGCTATGAAAGTGTAACAAATTCTTAGATGTCTTGGAGTTCCCAGAAAGAATGTGTGAGTTAATAAATGTATATTGTAAATGAGATAATTGAACATAATTATTCATATTTATATCTTCAGATGGATATGTGCATGTGGATAAGAGCCTTTGTTGTCCCTCTCCTTAGCATGATGTTTAGACTCAGAGCAAACCTGATTCAAACACATTTATCTCACATAAATAGTATATACACAAGAGACTTATGTAATTGAGATTCAGGGAAGTGTAGAACAATACTTACTTTTTAACCTGAAGTTTAATAAAATGTAAACAGTCATGAGGAAGCTTGAATGTTGGAAGGGTGTGACTTAATGCTAACTTTATGTTCTTAGACAATCCTGCTGCTTCAGTTTGTTCTCTAGGTAGCTGTATTCCTATAGCCAGAGATGAGGAGCTTCCTAGCTGCCAGCATGGGGGAGATAACAGTGCAGAGGTCTTATCAGTGCTCTGAGAGATAGGTCAGACAATTCTCTGTATTCCTCTTTAAAACAAAGGATAAAGAGGATCACAGAGACTGTCCTGTTCTTGCACTTCATTAACTGAGAACTAAGTTGTTAAAAAATTAGATAAGTATTAATTCAGAAGGAGTTATTACTGTTCAAAGAGTGGGAAGTGATTAGAAATCTTTCATTTTACTCTCTCTGGCCCAGTCATAGACAGGACATGTTAGGCAAAATAATCCAGACTTAAGTAGGTAGAGAAGCAATGGAATTAGAGCAGTGCCAGGGTTAAATTAGAGCAAGAAGGCGAATAAATTACTCTGAAGGTCAGTGAAATGGTCAGTAGAAAAAGATGCTGAGGGCCTGAGCCCCATCCATGCCGCTCGCCGCTCACCCAGATCCTGTGGAATGCATTATCAGGAAAATATTCCATCTTCCCAAAGAAACTGAAACTTCTTTTTTTCTTTTGCTGAACCTCACACCCAAAGCTAGTTATGCTCTTTCATGCCCCTGATCTGCAGAGCAATGCTTGAGTATGTGTGTAAATATTTGCTTAAAACCGTTGGTCAGAAAAATATGCCCTTAATAAACGAATATCAACTATAAATGTTGGGTACAGCATATGCTTATCTTTTGATAAATAGTATTTGTAGTATTTTTTATTTTCTGGGTTGGTTGTAGTCAATTGGAGTCAGTAATATCAACCCTGTAAACTCTCTGTTAAAGATTGCTGTACAGTATCTTTCTCATGTTGATTTTTTTCTGTGCTGTTCAGTAAATGAGAGAGTAAAGCTCTTTGTTAGAGACAGAACCAGGGAGAAACACATTCACAAGATAGCATTCAGGGAGTCATAGATTAATTCTTCTACAAAAGATATACAGAAATGACAGAATACATAGGAAGAGAAAGAATTGAAATCTGTTCTTGCTCTTGGTTAAATGACATGAAGAAGAAATGCTTTATTCATTTCTTTTCCTAAATACAACACTGATGCATTCTGAACACTCTGAGGTTGCCCCTGATGTGTTTAAACCAACACAATACTTACATGTTAGAAGAGAACTGACTCCCACAAGCTGACTTCCACAAATGCTCCAAGGAACATGAGTGACTGCACATTTACACTCACAAAATAAGTAAATGTGTAAAAATGAAAATGGTCTACATGTGCCCCAGTTTAATAACCCACTATATTCAGGAGCATGCCATTATAGCAAGAAAAATCACTACTAAGAGATAAAATGCTAGTTGTTGTGTAAGTATTTTCATTTGAGATCAAATACTGCTGTTCAGATACATAAGATTTCCTGGGATCCTAGGGTTTGTGTGGGCTCAGTGTGGAGTGAGTGGCTTCTGTTTTGTTAAACAGGAATGCCGGACTTCTGTTTTGCTACACTGCCTCTCCTCCAAGTGAAGAACTTTGCCTTTCTTTGCTATTAGTGATTTTTATTGTTTTACATTTCATGGGAAACTCCTTGGGTACCATGTTCCTATGATTCAGAATTATGGGATCCAATTTTAGAATTGCCCATATTATGGTCTCAACAATAGTAAAATAAACTCCATTGGAGGTAGAGAAAGTTGATTTCAGTGAGTTTGAGGCCAGCCTGGTCCACAAAGTGAGTTCTGGGATAGTCAGGGCTACACAAAAATGATAAAATATTAATTGCTTGCTAACTTGAGTGAACCTGTTTAATAAC